TCTCAAAGTTTGTCTCCGTCTCAAAGTTTGTCTCTGTCTCCCGAAATGAATATTCCCTGATTGATTTAGGGAAACTCAAAGCCCTTGTATTTTGAAAAGAATTCATTAAATTTCACACCAAGCCCTAGCAACATTTTTAAACATTTTCTAAAAAATGGTTCCAATATTTTAAATTTTGTAATTTATTGTGAGAATAGAGTAAAATGCAATTATAACGATGTCATAGGTCTGAATTTCTCTTAACAAAATTTTTCAAAAATTATAGACACATAAAATTCCTTTGCCATCTTGCAACTACAATTTTGAAGTAATAGCAGAAAACTGAAAACTTTTCGGTGAAAATTAGCTCAAAATTACGTATTATCAGATATGCTGAAAAAGATATTTTCTCAAAAATGGCTCCAAATTTTGCAGAGAATGTAGAAGAATGCTCTCTTCTATAATATTCTTTATGTTTAATTTCCATTCTGCTATTAGGGGACAGAAAAATGGAGATGCAAAAAATGTACTTAGGTGTTTTTAGATAAAACACCATTTTCTCAACATTAAAAATTTCATTCAACATTAAAAATTTCAAAATTAAAATAAACCATTGTGTTAACTGATGAGTAACCTGTAGAGTTAGTTAATTCTGAGAAAATTATTGATTACTAAGCGTGTGATTGCTAGATTTTCATAATGGTTGCTAGATTTTCATATTAAAATAATTTTGTTTACGCTGTAGCTATGGAAATGAATAGTTTGAGAATGCTTCAGATAAATAGATTCAATATTACAAAGTGCATTATAAGCAGCTTAAATATATGTAGGCCAGTTCAGATATAAATAAAACTTGATAAAATCCCATAATATAAGTTATATATGAGTCAGTATAATTGGTAGTATAAGTTGGGAATGCAAACAAATTCTTTACAAAATTGTCAAGGAAACTTTTACATTTTCAATGTTTCCTTGCTAGCATATCCACATTTTCATAAACACATGCACACAACAAAAGGATACACACATGCCCTTATAGAAACATATCCTCATGTGCAGGCAGACTCACATGCACAGAGACGTACGCACAGTCAGATAGAAAAATGAGCGCACATGTGCATGCATAGAACTCACTCACCCACCCCCAAACCCAAAAAACACACACCCATTCATGCTCGTGCATGTACACGTGCACACACTAACTCACACACACTCGTACATATACATACACACACAAACACACTCATACGTATACATACACACACAAACATACATTTTCATATATGAAGACAGGACATTGAGTTTATGAGACAACAACTTTCAATAAACAATTTTAGAGTTAGTGGTGTTGAGAAAATATAATCTGTAAAACAAGTTTTAAAAAATTGCACCATGACATTGATCACTGACATTTTTCCAGCAAGGTGAATATTTTATGCTAACTTATCCTTTTCCCCATCCCAATCCTTTGGCACTCAAGAGCTGCATTTCAGAATCACAAGCACAGAACTGAATTCATGCACTTGGGCAAACATCAATACATACTCACCCTCATCTTCGTGTAGTCCAGCAGAGCCTGCATGCCAATGAAGCCCGAGTGGAAGTATTGGTTGACTGGGCAGGTGTCTCCTGCTTCAAGTGGGAACATTCCCTTCCAATGACTGGTCTTCAACCGACAAGAGATCTTCGAGCTTAAGTGATCTTGGGTGGACGGTACTTTCAGAGAAGGATTTGTGCGGATGCCATAGCTGCAACGTAACAAAACTTTATTGTAGTACTCTGATGTATTATAATCAAATATGTTAGATAAATTTGGTATTTTAGAAACGATGATAGTAATGGATAATAATGACATGAGTGGAAAAAGAAGGTCAACTGTTTCTCTCCAGATACACTGGTGTCAATGGAAACAGAGATATTCATGTTCTAAATTGAGGATGGGAGCATTACTGGGAGGATGGGAGTAATATTGATGCCAACTAAAACATGATAATGCTCATTTATGAGAAAGTGAAGACCAGCAAAAATTCTGTTTTGGGATAGGTTTTGTATGATGAATGATGAGAAGGGACTAACTGACTAATTGAACAGATGGGATATGGCTCAATGCTATTCTGGTGGATCACAGTAGGAGATTGTAGCCTATAGTGATAGTTTATTATGGCCTAAGTTGGGACCATTACAAAAGTAAATAGGATTGCATGAAAAGGAACAAACAAACTTTGATATAGAGGCAAGCAACAAAATATAAATAAAAGAGGCTGGAATAGGAAGTGTCAGGTGTTAGAACCAGTGAAGAATAAATATACAAGTTTTGTAATGGGACATGTGAGTAGTTTCTGTGTTTAAAAATATACAAGAATAAATAGGAAAACGGGCAGATTATTAAAGAAATAACAGTACAATACGTGTAAGAATTGACTAGCCAATGGGAATAAGTAGTGTGCAAGACACGTGAACATAGTGTACAGAAGGTAGCAAAGAGTGGCAAAATTCACGAAATTTCGAGCAAGAAGAGGCAACTGAAAGGCGGGTAATACGTTTTGCAATGGAGAATGTTCTCGGCTATTGTAGGTGTCGGATGTAGAGTTGGTAGCGAAGTTTGTTGTCGGAATAATTCGTTGTTTATTTGTTGAATGAATGAAAAGAGTAACTGAAGGTGGGTAAAGAAGGCAAACAATTAATTCATAGAGGGAAGGGCACTAAAATGAAAATTACAGGCATAGGAACATAAAGACGATACTAATTTCAAGTGCAACTCACATTTTGTGATTATATAAAAATAAACAAAAGAAAAGAATGAAGTACATTGAAAATTACAGGAATAAAAAGGAAATAAAATGAATCATAACAAACATGAATTAAATAGTAAATAAGTAAGTAGTAAATAATCAGTAAATAAAAAGCTACATCACTTGACAAAAAACACGTAAAATTGTCAGACTTAGGGCCTGTTTCACCATGCCTAAAAAGTGTCTGATAGTTTATCCAGAAGTTATCTTACTGATATGTTGAAAATTTGTGTTTTACAAGTGCCTGATAAATCTATACAGTGGTTAAAGTCTCTGGTAAATAATCTGGAGGTTCGAGAGGCTGTTAAATGTTTATCTGGTAGATAACACCAAAATAACAGAATTTGTGTGTGAACTTGCTGTGCTTTTCAAGGAATATCTGGTATTTCAGTCATGGACAACATAAAAGAGATGATAAAACGACGAATTCTCTGATGGTTTAGACCGTCCGACCAGATGGCATGTTGGCCAAAATATTTTGAAATCCTTGACAAACAAGATTGCAAATCCCATTTGAGGTTAGGGGAGCCTAAGGTTAGCAAAGCTTCCTTAGAACAGAAAATTAAAGATTTGTGAATAGTGACTTATACTTCTGTAATGTCCGGGTAAAGTAATGGACCTGTTAATTTTATGTCAAAATAATAAAATGTATACTTTGTGTTTTTTTAGCAATTCTGAGGTATCACCAAAGAACTAACCACTCTGCGTTATTTTGCAATGGGATCATTTTTTATCCTAATTAATCTTCATTGAGGTGAGCAAAATACTGCTTCAAGTGTAGTGAGTTTGTGAAGCTTCCAAGGAATATAGAAATCACCCAAGAAGATATACAAACAAATACAACAAACATCCATACAAACACCCGATTTTATAGTGTTCTACTCTACAGAGTGTGTCTTGTGAACTATCTTTATGAAATGTTTCTTAATAAATGAATTCAAAACAAGTATCCTCTTCTTTTTTAACAATCAATGAATTTTTTCTTTAAAAGAAATCTTTATTGTCCAACATACCAATTCGATGTGTCAATTACACTCATCTACACACGTTAGATAGGCCTAATTGACATGATCCGCCTTAAAAAAAAAGTCAACAAATTTTGAAGATAGTAAATAAAATAAAAGAATCAAAAATAAAAGTTACGTAGAAATAAAAAAATGAAATTCATTAAAAAATCAAGTATAAGTGAAAAAATATATAAGTAGTAAGTATAAAAGTAGACGGGAGCACATGCCAAAACATTTTAAATTAAGTAGATATTTTTATAAAAAATAGAACTATATAAAAAAGATTACTAAAAAGAAAACATCCAATCACAAAATAAATAAATAAATAAAAATCCCTTTGTGAGAACAAACTTATACACCCTGACTTAAAGGAGATTATTCTAGAATATTTTTCAGGACCATTATCCAAAATTAACTTTTATTGCAGAAAGAATGTCATAAATGTTTGTGAAAAGATTTATGACAAAATTCTTTCTAAAATAAAAAACCATAAAAATGTATATTTTTTAAGAAAAGCATGTTTATAATTGTTAAAAAGCAAAAGAATACTTGAATAATAATAATAATAATAATAATAATAATAATTATTATTATTATTATTATTATTATTATTATTATTATTCATGTGACAATCATATTTTGTCTCTCATTTTCATCTGTTTTAACTTTCCTAAACTTTGAAATTTTTGTACAATTTGTTTTTGTGTTGTTGGTATTTAAAATAGATCACTCTCGTTTCATGGGGCTTCCCACACTACTCTCAGTAAAATTTTAATCGATGTGTTGGACTTTATTCTGTTGAGATGTTTAAGTCAATTTTGGCTGACTTTTATTTTCTTAATCTAATTGTAAATTATACACTCTAAAATTCTGTTCACGGACTGTATAGTATATAGAAATTTATTTTGATAATGTACAATAGGCTGGTCAAAGGAGAAAAGCCTCAATATTGAGTAATTTATGAAAAATAGGAAATAGAAATTAAAGAATCCATTTTCAATGAAATTTTCATAATCATGTCAAAAATTGCAATGGATTTCCTTGCCGTACTCCAGTTATGATTTCAGAATCAGTCACTTTTGGTAAGCACCATTTCCATTATAATTTTGTTTAAAAAAATAACAAAAAATAAAAACTTTGAACAGTTATAATAAGATTTCCTTTATCTGTCTTCAGAGCTTCATATTTTTATTAAAGACGTTCTCCTTCGCAAAAAGCACCCCCACCAAGCTATTGAAAACCTTTTGAATAGCTATCCATGCCAATCCCTATGCTGCCATTTGGTAGCGCCATTTACTTAACATTTAACAATGTTTTCCTCTCCGCAACGAGGGATACAAGTTTGTTTCCTCACGTGTAAAATTAACTCCTCTTTCTCGCTTCTTTCCCCTTTCCATTTTGAATTTCCTACACACACAAAGTACGATGCAATAAAACAAACTTTTCACCGAATTCGCACACAGCTCATGCTGAAGTAAACTGCAACACAAAATAACAACGAACGATGTGAAATACGCATGACACTTCCATTACCAAATCACATTCGAATTCGTGCGCGCAGAGCGTGTTTGACTCGAAAATGCGTCGCTAGTGAAAGAGCAATCAGCTAGATTATTTATCAGAAAGATATCTGTCAAATATTTTAACAAGAGAGACCTCGGTGAAACACAAAATAAATATCAGGCTCTCAATGGTGTGTGCGTCTGTGCGCCTCTGTCTGTGCGTCTGTGCGCCTCTGTCTGTGCGTCTGTGCGCCTCTCTCTGTGCGTCTGTGCGTCTCTGTCTGCGCGTCTGTGCGCCTCTGTCTGCGCCTCTGTGCGCCTCTGTGCGCCTCTGTCTGCGCCTCTGTGCGCCTCTGTCTGCGCGTCTGTGCGCCTCTGTCTGCGCGTCTGTGCGCCTCTGTCTGCGCGTCTGTGCGCCTCTGTCTGCGCGCGTCTGCCTGTGTCTGTGCGCGTCTGACTGTGTCTGTGCGCGTCTGTCTGTGTCTGTGCGCGTCTGTCTGTGTCTGTGCGCGTCTGTCTGTGTCTGTGCGCGTCTGTATGTCTGTGTGCGTCTGTATGTGTCTGTCTGTGTCTGTCCGTGTGTCTGTCTGTGTCCGTGTGTCTGTCTGTGTGTCTCTGTGTGTGTGTATATTTCTCTTAATAGGGTTGTTAGCTGTGTATGAATGTTTATAAAACTTCTGAAAAAAAAAATTTGATATCTTCTGGTATTATAGGAACTTCAACACTTAATAGATTCAGCAAAAGTGAACAATCAGTAGTAGCACTTAAAAGTTTCCACAACAATATATTCTAATAATTTCTTTTCAATAATAGTATATTTAAACGTGAAGCTATGTTACTATGTTCACGAGTTTGAAAGGGATCCTTAATACATGATTTACCATTCGTAAATGTTCTTAAAGTTATGTTTCAGTTCTACTAATTGGTAAAAAAAAAATAGTGCAGGAAAAAAATCCCCTCAGTTTTCCAGATCCTCATTGACCTCGCCTGAAGTGCAATACATTATAAAATCACATCTTCACCAGAGGCGGCTCGTGCTTAGGTTGCACGGTTACACAAACCCCAGATAATCAACAAAGATATCTTATCTTAGGAATACACATTTTCCTTTTAATGACATTCAATATTCAAGATATTCCAGCAATATCGATGTGAAACAATGAGCTACATAGAGTGGCTGACCCTATGGTTTCAGAACTCCTGGTCGACGCTTCACGCCGTCATGTAATTTTTCAGTAAAAACATGAGAGGTGCCTGATAGTGGGGTGTTGTTTCAATCAGATCTTATTTATATATTGTTGTATTTTCGTTTATCTGAATTATATTAATGGTTATAATAATAATATTTACAATACCTTCAGTATGTTCGACATATAAATAAAAATAGAAGTCGTCAAACCACAAATATATCATTTTTTCGAGTTTGCTGCTTTATTTGTGATCTATTTACTTGCCTATTATTGCAATATTGACTTTCAGGTGTTATGCTAAATACAATAACATTTCAACAGCTTCCATTCTTATGAAGTAACCTATGCAGAAAGCAACGTGTTTTTTAAGTTTCTCAATTCGTTTTCCTTACATATTGTGATTTTGTTTTTAAATAATTGGTTTTTGGTTGCAAAACAGAGGAAGAGGATTTATATAATGAGCTAGAAGCGCGGTCTTATCCAGCGCCAAACGGAATAATAACCCTGTTTCACCACAGGGTGCTGCTTTGACTACAAAAAGCATGGCTTCAATTTGTTGCAAAGATGGCCACTTCAGCCACTCTATGTAGTATAGTCTATATTCCTTCATTCCTATTCTAACGCGTAAGAGAAATATGAAGAAAAAACCCAGCGAAATCACTTGTTTACCACACTTCAAAAGAAACGCGAATTGCAATGAGAATGTACTACACGTGGATTTCTAAAATTTAGGAATGTGATGGGCTGTGCATTCTAAATTGGAATCCAAGGGATGCGAGATCGATGTCATTCGCCAAAGCTGGTACGTCCTACGTCAGAAGTCATACAGCAGGAATACATATATTATTAAATGTCATCTTATTTTTCAAACAGCGCAATGTATAGTACCTTAATTCTTTGGAGCAGGGGTCATCATTATCAAATATCACAGCCAGCTGGATGGAGGAGGGAGTAGTCCAATACACTTTGAGCAAAGCATCTTCGCTCTCATAAAAAACAAACTCAATGGGCTGGTGGTGGATATCATGTTTCATCATCTCCTCCAATAATTCATTGCTTTTATTCAGGAACATCTGCAATGAAAAATACCATTGACTCACTTTATACATTATATAATTAAATTACATTGGTTGTACTCAATTTTTCAGAAATTACAATATGTTTTCTGACATAGTTATTAGAAACATGTAAATGTTACAATGTGTTATGACACACAATATCTTGTAAGTTCACTTCAGGAGACCATTGGTTCAATATAGATCGGATTACATGAAGTTTATTTCTAAGGCTAAGTTTTAATTAGAATCTCAAAATTATGCCGTTTTGATATGTCACTCGAAAGTTAACACCTTTAACAGAATTTGAACACACATATCTCAAAATTTAACTGGGAAAATTTAACTTGGGAAGTTCCCAAGTTTTTTTTCTCCATCCAGTCAGTTGCCATCATGCTGTGGACTAGAGAGCAGCGGGCCTTCGCAGTCGTGAGCTTCTTTTCTAACGGTCGCTCACTTGTTGCTACGCAACGTGCCTTCCGCGCTCGCTTTGAAATTTCTCCTCACAGACTCGTTTCTGGCCGTAATTCGATTCTGTCGTGGGTTAACTCATTTCGGGAGTGTGGAAGTGTCGCTAAACCCAGA